ATACATTATGCTATATATGTACAAACATTTAATATATATCAATAATTTCAGTTAGTATAATTCCCATGTATTTTCAAATTAATTAAAATACAAATTAAAAGTTAAAGGGACAGCTTCAGAAATATTGCCAGACAGAGCGCTAACTACTCCCAAACCTGTCGACAGTTTTAATACGAAATCCCTTCTTTGTGTTTACGAGCTGAAAAAAGGCAGAAATGATATGCAAATCGTTGCTGAAGCCTGGCGGTTTTTCGTGCTTTTTGTGGACAGCTTATGAAAACACGCGAGTGATGAAAAACTTTTGTGGAAAACTGCCAAATAACAAACGTAAGCCAATGACAAAGGCAAGCAAATAAAATTATGAAATGTTTAATGCAGCGCAACATGCAATGCAATTACGCACGCAGAGAGCCAAAGTGGGCGAAGAGCCGTCCGGGTGCAGGGAACGGGGCCAGGGGAGAGTTGGCAAAACTTGTGACAAAAGTGCCGGAAAACTTTTTGCCATAGTCTGATGAGAAACGTTTTCCGCGGGCTTAAGCCAATTTGTGCCAAACACAGCCAAAGCCGATGGCAAAAAACGGAATCAGAGACAGAAACAGAAACTGAATCTGCATCAGAATCAGAATCAGATTCAGAATCAGAATGAGAATGAGAATCACAAGGCGAATGCGAATGCGAATGCGGAACAGAATCAAAATCAAGCAAAGTCGGAGACAAAGTTGCCTCGGTTTGCAGCCAACTTAAAGTTGCAACAAAGTTTTCAGCGGCATAATGAGCATTGCAGATTAAAGCTAATATACCCTTAAACGGAATCTGCGCAAGAATCTGCGTAAGAATCTGGGTAAGAATCTGCGGCTCGTTTGCTCGTAATTATTGGCAATTTCATGGCAATAAAATCACAAGCGTGCAAAATTATGAATGATAACACAGAGCCACAGAGCAGGTGGACTTATGAAGCACTCAAAGCGATTCATCGCCTGCCCTTAATCTGCTCCAAAGGGCAGCCAGCAGCTGGCAACAGGCCTGTTGCACTTGGCTTCTTATATTTTTGGGGCGTGCACCGCTTAAATAGCCGCAATTTTTATATTAAAATGTATATATATTAAAGAAAAGTATATATATATATTTGGGAAACTTGTTTGTAAGTGCCGCTGCGGGCCCTGGTCCCAACAGGCATCAAGGTGTGAACGCGTCAATGTGGCAATGCGGCAATGAACGTCAAAGAGCCAACGCCAAAGCCAAAGCTGAAGCTGAAGCAACCACTGAAGCTAAAGCCTCAAAGGCTCAAGGCAGAACCCAGCAACAGCTGATGCCGAACAGGCCCTTGTACGCTCTCTGCGCAATTAGGCCCTTTTTCGTAATTAATAAAAATAATAACAGTAAACGGCGAAATATATATAAGTAAAATGTAAGTATAAATATGTTTATATAAGAAATAAAACAGTTTTAGATATAAGCTATATACTGTGAACTCTAGTCTGACTTGTTTCCGATTTTAAGCTTCATTGTTTTGTACTATATCAGGCAAGTAAAACTGCTTGAGTGGGGAATGCATAATAACTTGTTTTTTATACTCTTTATCATTCCTCGCACAAAATTGAAAGGACCAAACTAGAACATTCAAATCATTCTTCAATTGAAAAATATACCTAGCACTCGAGCATAGTTCAGACGCATTTTATATCCATTGATACATCCAGCTCACATAAGTCTTAAAACATAAGTTTTTTTATTGAAATGAACCCCAAAATTATAAAGTATAAAAGCCAAAAAAAAAAAAAACAATAAATAAATAATAAATTTTTTTGTATTAAACATTGATTATATAAATATATATTTCAGTTTTTTTTAGTGATAAATCAAATTTAATATCTTTCCTTTATAATAGACGTTTTTGTAATTCTTGTTACATACTTATTTATATAGATTTATATATAATTACTTGAATGTATTTAATAAACAACTTCACGGCATTTTCAACCTCTCTCACTCTAACTCACTCTCTATCTCTTTCAGTTGTCTCTCGCGCTCCTCGCTTCTCATTTTGCTGTTCCTTGTTCTTTTCAATATTATGTATATTCCTTTATGTCTAGCGCTCTCTCGTTCTTTCCATTATCTAAGCTCTGCTTCTTTCTTTAGCTGAGATTAACATTGGGCTGAAATATTGTATACATTTGTTGAGTAGATGCGACATTTGTCTAGCTGGCAACGCATTAGCCACGCTTCTTGTTGCCAAAGGATAATGGATAATGGGCTACCAGGTGGGTGTACTAAATGGCGTGCTCAAGGTGCTGCGCTCGTTGCCTAGCTGCCGTTGCACTCATCCTGTCATAATTTGCTGTGACTAAAGGCGCGTGCAGCATGCCCAGGCCCGCCGCCAAAAACTGGACACACGTACCACGATTAGCCACGCATGCGCGTAGCAAAGGGAAACGAAGGACAGCAGCAGCCCGACTCCTGCCCTGGGCCGTTGACTAGTTAGTAGCTTGGAAAATGTCAACTTGGCATGGGTCGCTTGATTTGGCACGCTTGTGGCTGCTGCTGCCGCTGCTTCTGCTGCTGCTGCTGATTCTGCTGGGCATTGCATTTGCAACTGGTCCCTCTTAATGTCCAGTCGTAAAATGCAATTTCAAGGCTGCCGTTGCTGCTGTTTCGGTAGTCCCTTGGCAGAGCCCATTGTCCGTGTCCGCTGCTGCTGCTGCTTCATGGAAATGCATTTCACAATCGGCAATCTGCAGCTCATACGTTGCAAATATTTTGGTCCAAATGTATTTCAAGCTGCGTCAAATAGCCTTCAGGGTCTCGTGCCCTCTGTCTTGTGACAGGCTCGTGCTGTGCTGGACTTGTGCTACTGCAGTTGTTTCTCCTCCTGCTCCTGCTGCTACTGCTGCTCCTGCTCCTGCCTCTGCTGCTTCTGCTTCTGCTTCTGCTTTGTTTATCAATTAAACACAACTAACTGTTGTTTACGCATCTTGCGGTTTTGCTCAGGTGCAAGCCAGCTGCCTGTCAAAACGAAAACAAAAGCACATTTCCAGCATATTCCCCAGTAGCCATGCACAGGGCGAACCCTTCACAGCTGCTCGTCTGTCAGTTCAGGTGAAGTAGAAACAACAACGTCTTCGGGAAAACTTCCTCACATTCAATATTATTCGAAAGATATTCAGAAACTGTTTTTACTCTGTTTTCGCAGTACTTTCAAGCTGCTGGTTGGTTTGCTTACATTTAAGGACTAGATAGATAGACTAGATAGGGGAATATGAGAGACTATTTTCAAGTTAATAATATCGATAAGCTCGTAATATTCTTTTATTTAATTCTGCTGAGTCCGCTGATTAATTAACTCTTTATTGCTTTATTATTTCAGAATCTGAATGTTTTACTAGCTTTAGTCGGAAAAGTAGAATAGCTCTATTGAGATATACTAATAGAAGAGCAAATGGAAAATATTTGTACAGCCTATGGAGAGACTTAGAAGGCTATCATTAACTGTTTATTTAATATTCTTCTACAATACATATTGTTATTAACATTATGGGCTTATAATAACCTCATGAATTAATAAAGTTTACTTCATATTCTTGTTTAATATGTATATTTAAATAATGAGTATGTATATTATATTCTTTTAATAGATCGATAAGTATATCATTATATGCATTATTTCTCAATATGGGTCTTCAATAAATAAGTATAAAATAGTTAAGCAATTCTCATATTCTTCTCAGTAAATATTTATATAACAATATTAAAGGAAATATATTGATAAATTATATTATCATTTAATATTGATCTTCAGTACATTTAAATAACTGTATTTGAAAAAGCTACAATTATTACAATATTATAGGACATAATATAAAGAGCAATAAATACTTGAATAAGAATATTGAAATAAAATAAATATTATCAGATAGATTTGTTCTGTTATTCTCTTGAATAAGTTAATTTAATCATTCTGTAAGTTTTAGCCTGGCCTAGTTGCTCTAAACTCTTGTGGGCTTACTCTCGTGCCCATCACTTAGGTAACCAATTTATCATGTTGCATGCACGGTTGATGCAATATTTGAGTATTCGTATAATTGAGCTAATAGGTGAATCAAGAGGCAGATGCTCTGAGCTGCTGTTGTTGTTGCTGGCCGGCACTTGAGCCCGTGGCGAATGGCAACAATTGCAACTAATTGGGGCAGATGCAGCTGAATCGCATCTAAGCTGCACTAAGTACACTCAGAAAATTGAATATTAATGCTGCAGCCAGAGCACTCGAGGAGGGCGAGCACAGAAGGCTGGGCCAGCAAATTGCAACGCATTGCATGCAACAAATTATGGAACATGCCAACTCTCAGCTCGCCATAGCCAAATGCAATGAAGCGAACCATTCTTAGCTGCTTCTCTCTCTCGCTCTATCTCTCGCTCTGATCACTCTGCTTAGGCCATTCGATATGCCACACACACACACACAGACTAACACACACATAAGACACTGACAGAAGCAGCTCGCATTTGCTTTCTTGCTGCGAGTTCAAAGAGCTCAAAGGACATTTCATTAGTAGTTTTTGCATCTATTCGGTTCGTTGCCGAGCGTTGAAAATTCCGTTTCGTCACAAGCGATTTGCTCTTTTCACAGTTTCCGCTGCGCAAGCGCAACAGCCCAGCCCAAAGAGACAAGCACTGTATGTATGTGTGTGTGTGTGAGTGAGCGTTCCCTCTTTATAAATGCCGTCTCCCTCGGCACGTTAAATGTCTGTCAACCTCGTAAATCCTGTTTGAAATTAAGTGCGTCGTTGCGTGCATTTTGGTGTAACGAATTTCTTATTTGATTTTGTACAATGTGTTAACTTTTGTCGGAAATACAAATTCAGGGATTGGCAACGCTTTTAGATTTTCAATCGCTACTATTTGGTTGTGTAAGTCACCGCACCCACAGACAGGAGCGGTAGCTCACCGCCCGGGCCTTGCCAGATCCAGATCCAAGTCAGCATTTAAAATAAGAGAACTGTCGTCTATGGATCCTTCGAGCTTTTACTGTGTGTTTCCGGTATGTACGTGATAGTGAAGAGACACCCTCCGCAAGAAAATGCCGCAAATACTCCAAAGATGAGGGCAGGAAAATCGCTTGTGATAGCGAATGGAAACACAGAAACTATCGTAAAAACAAAAATCCACGAGAAAGTCGAGACAATCGCATCACAAATGGGCAGCACTCGCTCCGAGAACATCTCGATCATAACGACCCAGACGAGTGGCCCGACGCCCAGGCCGTGTGCAGCGCTGTACATGACGGTGGCGGAGGCTATTAGCCACTTGGAGTCGGCGGTCCTTAGAAATTGAAAGTTCAGCGCCAGGAGAATGGAGGCCAGCAGAATCACGAGGCCCGACACAAAGAGCCAGAGCTTGCGCTCGCTTTTCTGAATGACCAATGCGGTCACATACGCGGCGACCACTTGGGCAAGGGCAAAGACAATAATGCACAGCTGTATGGACGCCTTGTAGTTGTCTTCGTTGAACATCAGCTTCATGTAGAAGACATACGCGTTGATGCCCGTGAACTGCTGGAACAGCATCAGTCCGATCACCGCCAGCAGGCTCCTCACTGTGGCCCTCTCGCGCAGCGCCTCCTTGGTGCTGTAGCTCTCCGGCTGGTGGCTGGTCGCTATCGCCAGCATTTCTCGCTCAATGTTTGCATTGGGGCCCCGCAGCCATTGCAAGGTGGCCTTGGCCTTCTCGTTCCTATTCTGCTGCACCAGGTACACCGGCGACTCGGGCACCCATATAAGAATGCCGGCATAGGCCAGAGGCAGCAGGCCGCACGCAAAGTTGTACGTCTGTAAGTCCTGGCACGAGTTCAGGAGGTAGGCATAGAGAGTGCCATGGACCAGCATCAGGTTGAAGAAGCAGTTCAGCATTCCGCGCATGTGCAGCTCGGCCACCTCATTGTTGTATATGGTGACGGCCACGCCGATGCCGCCGTTGCCCATTCCAATCAGCAGTCGGCCGATGTACATCATGCTCAGGTGCTCCGCGCTAATGATGAGGGCCCAGCCGGCGATGCTCGGCAGCACCATGCCCATCATGATCGGCTTCCGGCCGAACGAGCTGATCATGATGCCCGCGGGCACGCACATGATAGCGGCACCCACTGCAATGATCGAGCATATGAATGCCCAGTGCACGGGACTCGGCTGGAACACGTATGACGCGCCGATGCACCTTACGCTTCCGATGGGCCCCGACCACCCCAGGGATACGCCAACAATGAACCCACCAAACGAGGCCACCAGAGCGACCAATATCGACTTAGCCAGGACCATTCTACCGCCACGTTTGTGTGTACTGTGTCCAATGGATCAAATGAACTGCGAACTGGAGGCAGCCATCATGGGGCCTGCGAGTGTCAAGTAAATATAAGTTCGATTTAAGCGAGCAACGAAACTGATCAGAATTTATAATGTGGGGCTCAGGAATAAGTCAATCGGGCTACTTCAATTTATAATTTCTCTCCCACTCCCTCTGTGTGCATGTAGAAAGTATTTATCTATCCATAAATTATAGCCATATTAATAGAAAATTTGCCTGTCTCTTGAGTATTATTCCCATGTATTAGAGGGGATCAAAAGGGGCAAGGGAAACCATATGCCCTCACACCTAGCTGTTGTACACGTTGGCCTGGCTAAGCCCGGTCGCAACACAAATATATTGCTTTAGCCTAAAAAAAACAATAACAGCTTGGCAGTTGTTCTGTTGTCCCAGCAAGGACATGTGTGTATCTGTGTGTGTGAGTGTGTGTGTGTGTGGCATACAGGTATCTGGCTGACTGCACAGCATCAATTGTAAAAGGATTATGGCTTAATTTTAAATGCGCATTCATTTGCACTCGCCTGCCGCTGCATCAGCTCCTGCCGCTCCTGCCGCTCCTGCCGCTCCTGCTGCTGTTGCTCCTTTTGCAGCTCGTCAAGCTCCTCCTCAGCTGTCTCTCTCGCTCTTTAAGAGGATTTCTGACTGCCGCCTGGGTTTTTTCTCATTAGTTTTCAAATAGCTGCATTAGCAGAGCGCGCTGCAAGGATCTGGGCCATACAAATGCCAGTGAATTGCTCAATTTGTGGCATTAAGCCCCCTTCTCGGCATTTGTTTTGGCCAGCACTTTGTACCCTTGGCGCATATTGTTTGGCCTTGTTTGTTATTGCAGCAGTATCTCTTCTTCTTTTTCTATTTCTCTTTTTTTTTTTTTGCTTCTCTATCATGTGTTGACCTTTTATCTATTCGCCCATCTTTATTTTTTACCACGAGCTCTAAGCACGTCTCTAAGCATTTTCGAGCTGCTTCATTGTGCGGCTATTGTGCTGGAGGATCAGAGGAACAATGTGAGCCACGAAGACAACATTCAAGTCCAAACTGAAATAATATATTTCCAGACTAATTGAAGGCTAAGTAAATGTATTGATGATTTATTTATTTGTGTATGTAGAGTGTATGTAAGTAAATTTATATTAACATTTAGATTACAGAAGTGATAACGTTGCAGTAGGTCCTTTCCGACTGCATAATACTCATTCACGAACCAAAAACAGCTGATTCTGTTTTGGAAAAGTCTTTTTCGTCTAAATATTATTCATATACATACATATATACACTTTTATACACTTCTATTTACAAAAAATTAAATTTTGTTTAATTCTAATTAATTATATTTAATTTATAATAATAATAATTTATTTATTAGACCTCGATTTAATAAATTATATATTTTTTCAGTGAAGATTTTCAAAATGTTTTTTAAAAACTGTTGCAAAAAGAATGTTAGCCTATGTCATTATTTAATTAAGAGCCAGAGATACCAAGTTAATAGCAGAAGGAAAAGATCAGCAATAAATTCGACGTTAAGGTCAGAGCCTAAACTGCTGTAAACTGTATGCGAATAGGCCTTGTTAACATATCAATATCACATATAACAAATATACTCTTTGATATTATTATTATCTCCTTTTATTTGAAATATTTAAATATAATACTTTCATTCACCTGAAGGCTTTAGTGCCAGCAAGCTAGCATCTCTCTCTTCTTGCTGTATTATTTATGTGTTAATAGACCATAGACACTCCGTAAGCTAGACATGAGTTCTCACAGAGGAGCAGCTTAAGATCGTCTCTATTAAAACTTTGAAGTTCGGCTTAATTTGTGCTGGCCCGCAGCATTCACTCGAGTTGTGGGTGCAACCCACATATCATGCCCTGAATGCGCTCCCTAAGCAGCTCACATAAATTACGTGCCCAGTAAAAATCTCAGGGAAAGAGTGAGACAGTGAGAGATAGACGTGGAGAGAGAGGGTGGAGAGGTGCCTCTCCATTCACTGCGTAGCCCTGGTTACAGCATTTGTTTCTGTTGTTCTCTGTCTCTGGCTGCGACAATATTTCTTAGCCAATTTTGGGAATTTTTTTTCCGTTTGGAAAGCGACGCTGAAAATCCGCTTAAAAAAAAGAAGCAAACGCGCTGCAGAAGACGCGAGCAAAAAAGAAAGAGAAAAACGCTGAATTAAAATGCAACAAAGTTGCGAGAGGTGTAAGAGTGGCATGTGGAAAGGCGGAGCAGAGGAAGGGGGCGGGGCACGCTGTGAGGAAAGCGTCAGGCACATTTTTCTTTGCAGTTCAGTCACAGTTTTCGGTAGCTGCTGCAGCTCTCGTTTTTCTGCTGGCACTTTAGGCAAATTTACTACAGCCATAGAGGGTGAGAGAAAGAGTGGGAGAGAGGGGAGGTGGGGGGAAGGGTGTGAGCTTGTGCGAGCGAGAAGGAGGTAGAAAAACTGAAACACATGTCACAGATTTGTTTCACTTTCGGAAGCACTTAAGCACTCAGCGAATTTGTTTGAAAAAAAGGAGAAAACGAAACAACGACCGAAACTCTGGAGCTCTGGCTACTTCTTCAATGCCAGCGCATTGTTCAGTTTTATTTTTGAAATAAATATGCATGGCTAAAGGGGAGTGTGTGTGTGTGTGTGTGTGTGTGCTATGGGGCTGTAGTTGTGGGGTAGGCCGCCAAAAGAACAAATTGATGATATGCCCCTTTGACACTTGAGTCCATTATTTATGTGCCGGCTTGCGATTATTTTCACATATGCTGTGCCCCCTCTTATCCCCATGCCCCATGTGCTCCTCCCTCTCCCGCTCCGCCACTGACTCACTATACGTGCCTGGTCTTTGGTCTCGGCGGATTTCACTTCCATTTCGCTCAACAATTCGATGCAGCAATCAGCTGAGCAGGCAGTTCGCTGAGTGCCTCGTTTGGACCAGGTTAACACACGCACACACACACGCACGCACACTCACACACACACACACACGCACACACTTAGCACTTTGTTTTAAATACCTTGCCTTGGCTTACGTTGTTTAAAGCGCATTTTCAGCTTAACGGTAACACGTGACATATGAATTATTGTGCTGCCTCCTGACTAAGCATTCGCCTCTTACCAATTTTACGGCTTTAGTCATCAAATATTAAAAAGAAAATCCCAATTCGGGCACAGCTTAAAAATGATCGCATACGGAAACAAAAGCTACTTCACTCTGTAAACTGTATCAAAATGCAAGAATATCAAAATTCAAGAGATTTGAACTAAAATAATAAATAATAAAAATATTTGTGTTTTAAGTAAATTTCCATTGTTCAATATATGTTCAGAATGACTAAAGGGCAGGCTTTAAAATTGTTTGTGTTGATAATTTTGAGTAATAATATTTTGAACTATTAAAAATTATTAATAATATATACTTAGTAAAATAAAATAAATGAACTCAAATTTCAAACTCTAAATTTTATTATTATATTTTTTTATTTACATTTTAAAATTTATTAATTCAAAAATTTCATTATATTTAAAATATTCAATATATTATTTATCTAGTTTTTATAAAGATCTCTTTGATATCTATTTATTTATATAGAGTTTATAAGTCGTATTGAAGATCAGAAGAATCTAATAATCTAAGCTATACGTCTTTATCAAGTGCCCGCTGATCTCTAGCAGAATTTCATCTGTTTTAATTCACATTTGTGAATTTTGATAATCAAACAAACTTTGTATATTATTCTATGGAATGCATGCCCCAGTCTCATGACAGAATTCTTGACAATTTTTTGGAATACATATTTATTTTTTACATGGGCTGCTTTGGCATTTGTGCGTAAATCATGCCACATTAATGAACTCTAAAATGGTGGCTGCTGCCAAGCTGTAAGGCTACCGCTTGGACTTTTTGTTTTTGTTGGTGTTTGATAGGGTTGAGGACCGGAGCTTGGCATAAATAATTGTATAATAAATTGCATAGCTGAATAGGAGCGATATATCATTTGTCGCAGCGTGTGTGACACGTTTGGGAAACGGCGCGAAACGTGCAAAGTGCGAACGATTCAATTAATCCTGACACTATTTATTATTATTAGGGTTAAGCCAGAGACAGAAATATGCCAAAGAGGAGCGAGTTGGCCAGCTCAGAGCCAGCTAGCCGGGCGGCTCAGTTACGACTGCCCATGTAGTTGTTACATTAATTAGTAGAGCAGCCTGTTTCGGCTCTGTCGCGCCTCGCCGTTCCAGGCACTATCATATTTATTAAGCAGCCGCATCGCCTGCAGCTTTTCGCATTGGCGAATTGTGCGTCTCTCCCTGTAAGTGTGTGTGTGTGTGTCTGCTGTTGCTTTGCTGGATCCGGTGCTGTCTGACTACCCGCGGCTATCACAACAACGAAAATTGATTGCTTCTGTTGTTGTGGCTGGCTTTGATCGTGTTAAGATAGCTGGCAGAAGGCAGAAGGCAGCAGGCAGGCAGGCGAAGAAAAAGAGAAGCTGGGAAGCTCCCCAGAACCTCAACTTGAGTTCTATAGAAAGTTTTGCGCATAACTTTGGCTTGGACGCGCTATGGGCATCGTAAATATCTTTTACTGCCATCCTTCTTCAGTGGCTTTCATTATATACATATGCATATATGTGCATACACACACTCGCATTTCTGCATTGCACGCATTTCTGCATAGACTCTTTACCGGCACACCCATGTGTATAGCAGGGCAGGGTGTAGCTGCTTGGCTATTTTTGTGACAGATCATAAATCAAAAATCATACACGCTGCTGCATTTCAATATGAGTGCAACCACGCCATCACACCACTGCACCACCACACCACACAGACAGGTAGGTGGCGGCGGCTTTTGCAGGTGTTTGCTCCAAATGAATAAATGTCGTTGCTTTGCTCTTATTTTGCGCGATTGTAAATTAAGTTCAGTCAAAGTTCTGACGGACAGCTGCAAGCTGCAAGTGCTGG